TACAGTAATATCAGAGGAATATTTGATCTGTCCCTTCATAAAAACTTCTTTTGGTGAATTTGAATTTATTGACTTTGAAATCCCTATTCCACTTTCCAGTACTGCCTATAAGACAGTCATTCACAATGCAGGGCAAGTGATTTCTAGGTTTCAAAGAGAGAAATGAACAACACTGAGAATTAAGAAAGACAAAGGAAGGTTTGTTTCACTCAGGCAAACAAAATTCTGAATTTCTCAGAATACTAGAAATGCAATACTTTCGGTCGAATTGAACAAATCATTTGTACAGAATTTATAGGAGCAGCTGTGCTAATCAATGGGAACTGGGAATTTGATGTGTTATTTGCAACTCTCACAGCTTAGTCACATCATGAAATGAACTATACACTCCATCTCATGAGTACTGTGGTGGTTTGAATGTGCTAGGATGATGGGAAGTGGCACTATTAGGATGTGTGGGATTTTTAGAATAGATGTGGCCTTGTTGGAGGAATTTATTTATAAATGCACTCTCTGTGGGGGTAGGCTTTGAAGTCTCAGTGCTCAAGATCTTCCCAGTGTGGAAGAAAGCCCCCTCCTGGCTACCTGCAGAAGACATTTGATTTCTTCCTGCCTTTGGATCACCATGTCTAGCTGGATGTTGCCATTCTTCCTGCTATAATGATAAAGGAATGAATGTCTGAAACTGTAAGTCAGTCACAATTAAATGCTGTCCTTTATAAGAATTGCCTTGGTCATGGTGTCTCTTCACAGCAATAAAACTCTAAGATAGAAGTTAGTACCAGGAGTGGGGTGTTGATGTTTTTGTTTAGAGGAATGTGAATTTGAGGATTTTTGGATTATGGAAATCAGTGGAATGCTTTAAGTTGGGTTAAATGGGCCTAGTAGAAATATTGAAGACATTGGTGCTGAAAGTAATCTGAACTGTAAAACCCTGGTTCAAGAGGTTTCAGAGAACAATAATGTTAGTATGTTTCCTAGAGACTGTTTTGTGATATTTTGGGGGAAAATGTAGCTGCCTTTTGCTCTGATTCTAAGAGATTTGTATTCATCACATTAGCAAAGGAGCTCTCAAAAGACCCTAGTATAAATTTTGTTGTGTGGTTACTAAATTTCAAAATTATGAAGAGCATTTTGATGAAAATACACAAGCTAAGAAAGAAAAAATACACAATGTATGGCTCAAGTGATAAATGGGCACCAGACAGTGGAGTGGAGCTGAATTCTGTGTTGAAAAAGATAAAATATTAGAGGATGTCTAGTCTCAGGGTAAAATCCCACCCAGGTAAGCATACTATTTATGTGTTTGAGATTGAAAAAGGCACTATTAGGAGATACTGCCTTGTTGGAGTGGCTGCTTCCTAATTAGAGGAAGTGGGTCACTGTGGGCATAGGCTTTGAGGTCTCAGTGCTAAGATTCCCTCCAGTGTGAAAAAAGAGCCTCCTCCTGGCTACCTATGGAAGACAATATCCTTCTGCCTGCCTTTGGATCAAGATATATAATTATCAGCTCCTTCTCCAGCATCATGTCTGACTGTATACTGGCATGCTTTTTGCCATGATTATAATGGACTGAATCTCTGAATCTGTAAGCCAGGCACAATTAAATGTACTGTATAAGAGTTACCTTGGTCAAGGTGTCTCTTCACAGCAATGAAACTCTAGTTAAGACCATTAGTTATATGACATACATGTCTTATGTAAATATAACTCAATTTAGATTAGAGAATAATGCATAAATTAGCGGTATATTAAATAAAATGATTAAATAGCAAATATCATAAAGGTTGTTTGGCTTAAGTATTATATAAAGCTATGAAATAAATCATGTATATTCTCACAAGAAATTGTCACTCATAAAATTGATAAATATAATGATGCTTTAGATGGCAAGGCACTGGTGGTGGCTTTGTTGTCTCTTTCCAAAAGAAGATTTACTAAATATAGAAATTCTGAAATTCAGTTTTCCATTGTTCATGTGCACTGTTCTTGATTGATTTTTGTTGCTAAAATTTAATACTCTATGTGACTCTGGTGACTTTATTAACCTGTTTTAAAAAAAACATTCTGCCTGGCAGTGGTGGCTCACACCTTTAATCCCAGCACTTGGGAGGCAGAGGCAGGCGGATTTCTGAGTTCAAGGCCAGCCTGGTCTACAGAGTGAGTTCCAGGACAGCCAGGGCTACACAGAGAAACCCTGTCTCGAAAAACCAAAAAAATAAATAAATAAATAAATAAATAACATTCTTTGTTTTATATCTTTACTTGTAGACAGACTATATTGTGTATTGTATGGATGTATTACCTGTCAATTGAAAAGCATATAGCCTATAGCAAAGGCAGGAAATAAGTGTTGCACATATTAGAGAGGGGGGGATATAGCAAATGGTGTGGGAATCAGCCCTGAAAAATGTGAGGAAATAGACAAATGGTACCTGGGCACAGGTAAACAGCCATGTGGCAGAATGTAGGTTAAAAAAAAATGGGTTATCTTTGTTTATGATGTAGTCGTAGAAGAGCATATCTATGAGGCCAAGGCATCTTTGTAAATATATTTTGGGTCTAAGTCTTATTTCTGGGAGAATGGAGATAAGAGGAAGAATTAGGACCCAACTTCAACAGTCTCTAATATCTCTGTTTCAGTATATCATACTATCTAATGTTTTGATGCATATTCCCTAGAATATCATTAAGTGTACTGCCCCTGTATTTGAGTAATGACACATACTGTGGTACTCCTCAAAGAAGAAACTAATATTGCTCCATGGAAGCATTATGAGACACTACTTTTGAAAGATATTAACAAATATCTACTCACTTCAGATAGGGAACTGAAAAGAGACTAAAGAAAAGATACCAAAGAAATCTAACTTGTTGAACCAATGAGCGTTATTGTGCTTTTCAAATGAATATTGGTAAGAAGTTCCTTAAAGGAGTAACATATCTCAAAGACACCTCTATCACCAAACACATCCTGCATGGGAGATAGCTCATGAAAGCTGGAAACAAAGAGTGTCCTATCTAGCCCACAGGTAGTTCAACAGATTGGTGGATGGTTAGTTTGAACCTCTTTCTGGTAAATTTGTAAATTTAATTAATTCTGTCTTTTCCAGAGTATTCAGCTAGTCTGAGTCCTTTCTAGGCAGATCAGCTTGTCTGAGAGTGTCACAGACAAATGCATGAAAAAGGAGAGGACTAACTAATCTGGTCACTTTCAGGGACTTAAGTTATTTGATTGTTTACCTTCTGAGTTTTCCTGCACAGTAAATGTTTCACCTCCCCTAGAACAGCCCATGTTTCATTTCCCTGTAAATATCCTGTCTCCAGTGACAGAAACAAATTGGGATCTAGCTCAAGGGAAGGTCCCAAGGCCTGACAATATTACTGAAGCTATGGAGCACTCAAAAAAGGGACTTATCATGACTTCCCTCCAAAGACAAGCAGCTGAAAGAGTCAGATGCAGATATTTTCACCCAAACAATGGACAGAAGCTGCTGACCCCTGTGGTTGAATTAGAGAAAAGCTGGTAGAATCTGAGGGGGGGACCCTGTAGGAGGTCCAGCAGTCTCAACTAACCTAGATCCCTGAGATCTTTCAGAAACTGGATGACCAATCAGGTATCATACATCTGCTGATATGAGGCTCCCAACACATATACAGCAGACGACTGCTGGGTCTGGGTTAAGTCAGAGAAGATGAACCTAACCCTCGAGAGTCTTGAGACTCCAGGGAGTTTAGAAGTCTGGTGGTGTGGTAAGTAGTTGGGGACATCCCTGTGGAGATGGGTTGGGGAGGAGGGATGGAATCGGGAACAGTCAGAGGGTAGACCAGGAGGGGAATAAAATCTGTAGTGTAAAAAACAAAAAGATTAAATAAAATTAAAAAAAATACTTTAGAGCTGTAATTTTTAGAAAGACCATGTTATGTCACTACTTCTGACACCTGGAAATGAAATTTATACCTTCATAAAAAAAAATGTAACTGGCTCTCCTCTACTTCAACCTACTTTGTTTTAAGGAGAGTTCATATAACAGGGAAGGAAACTGAAGCAAGTTGATTTGCAGAAACTGTTCTTCATTTAAGGAAAATATTATCTGGCATAAGGTGCCGATTCTTATTCCACAATTAATGTTTACAGTATTTACTTACCTGGTTACATAATAGTATGGATTCTGTAACTCTCAGAAAAATGTGTCAGCAGAAGCAAGCATAGAAGTGATAATACCTATAACTTCCCAATGTTGGGTTCTAGGAGAAGCTGAGGAAATTCACATCAAAAAGGTAAGATTAAAATGAAGGCTTTATACTCTGATCACTCAAACAGGTGATCAGCTCTGGATTTGAACCGTGTCCTTGAAGGGAAATTGTACAACATCTTTTAAAGATTAAACCACAAAGCAAGGGAGGAGCAGAAGGGTTGTGGAATTGTCTAGTCATATTTTGACACAAAAAGTTGAGAAAGGAATTTCCATTAAGGTTTTGTCACTGACTGGGGCCAGCCAGTCACCGGAAGGGAGTAAATTTGTGTAGTTGGGCTTTATCCAGGGTTTATGGGTTACCAGGTCCTTGACTCAGAGTCTTGAAGGTCAGACCTCATTCTGGATATGTGGCCCATAACTCAAAATGATTAGGGAATAAATAAGTAAATGTAAAGTTGCATGAAGTCAATTAGATCATGTCAAGGAATCAGTTTTATACATTTATGACTTGTGTATCTTCATTTAGATAACAGGCAATTTCTCTATTTGCATTCTTTTCTAATTCATTAACAGACAAACAAGAAACATCTGGAGAAACAGGATAGAAGCTGGTTTCTAGCCTGGAAACATGAACTTAGTTTGACCCTGGCAGCAAGATGGAGATGTTATCACTGATAGGCTTGGAGTCAGACAACTGTCTCCTTCAGTCAATACACCTCCAATGACACATGGTTGCATATTTCATAGGCATCAAGAGGCATTCTGCTTGTCATGATGAAGCAACTAAAATACCGTATTTTTTAACTTGACATCATATCTACTCAGTTAAATGTCCAGGAGGAAGGGACCTAAATGTCTTGACCAGAACAACATGTTTTTTGACAAAGTATATAAATACTGTGAAATTAATGGTGTGACATTTCTTAGTCCTGATCCCATAATTAATTCTCTATTTCTAAACTGTCTTACGCACCTACCTCTTGAACATCTGTCCACTGATTTTTTTTTTATTAGTTCAGGGACAGAACTAGAACAGATGATATATAATCAATATTTGATCTTCAATGAGTCATAGCTGCTAAGAGTGCATGTAGAGCACTTTAAACACACTCACCTGTCTGACAGATGGCCACATATGATACTTCCTATAAATAGGCCAATCATAAATGAAAATTTAGTGACAGAATTCAGTACCTGAGATTCACACACCAGGTCCCACTAAAAAAGAAGAAAATGACGAACTCAGAAATTATAGCTACACAGTGCCATTTGTTCTAAGCCTTCACCATAACATCTGGTGAAACTTTGTATCCCTGTCTTACTCTGCAACATTCCTTTTGAATACTAAATTATTTCTACTATAAGCTGAAGATACCTCTCTCTAAGAACCTTCATCAAACTATCTGTAGCTTATGATAAGGATTTGTAAAACAGACTAAGACGTGCTCTCCAATAAGCCATAAAGTAAAGTCATTTGAGATACTTAAAAGAATTTTCTGGATCACACATATCAGAGTATAAACTCTCATATTACTCCACTAGGTACAGATAGAGCCAAGAAATGACTGCATTCTCTTCGTATCTCTCTTATTCCTTTCCTTCTTTTATTTTCTTATTCAATATTTTATTTATTTACATTTCAGATGCCATCCCCCTTTCCCATTCCCCCAACCCATTAACCCCCTATCCCATCCCTCCTCCTGCTTTTTTGCTTTTACACCATTTTAATTACATGCAAGTATTAAGGTCAATTCTAGGTTGAAGAACTAGCAATACAATAGATGCAAATAGTCAAGGAACAAGCAAGACAGTAAACCCAGATAGTAAAAGAACACTCAAGACAATAAACAGAGTCCCGCAATCACTCCTGTGATCACTATTTCTAAGGGCTTATCAGGATGACCAAAATATCTGAGCCTACTTCCCTTTCCTAGCCCAAAGTCATTTTCATGCCTGAAGCCTACTTCTTTGTTCTAGCCTAAGATTTAGATTCCTGCCTGAAATTTCTTCTTTATTCTAGCCTAGGATTTAGATTTCTGCCTGAAATTACTTCTTTATTCCAGACCAATGTCAGATCCCTACCTGCAGTCCATTTCCTTGTACTTGGCCTGTGTAAGATTCCTTCCAAGCAGCCCATTTCCTTGTCCTTAGCCAATGACAGATTTCTGCCAGGCAGCTCCAAAAACTCTCCACATCTTCCCTTTTCTGTTACATGAACCAGTCTGAGCCTGCCTTAGGTCGTTCTGCCAAGAAAGCCTTCCTTACGCTTCATGGAATATACATTATCATAAGCAATGCACTTATGTCTTAGATTGGTAAGTCTCTGTGCAGAATCTTACCTGTCCTTAGCTTGCCAGCCTGTTAAATTAATAACTCTATCTGGGGGCCCATTATCAGTTTGAAGTCATGTACTTTGGCTGCCAGCCTGTTGTTGTAGTTACTGACAAGCTTTAACATGATGGGCAAGAATAAAAATATTCCCAGGACAAGAAGAGCTAGAATGATCAAACTATATATGCCATGCCTGAGGTTTGACCAAAATGGAAATACTGACCTCAGGCCATGGGTAATTTTATCAGCATTATCTGCAGCATCAAAATTCAACAGCGCATCATTCTTTAAATTCATAATCTCAGTATGCAAAGTTAAAACACCCAGAGAGGTGTTAGGATTATGCCAAATACCATATAGGTGTCTTTAAACTTTTTTTAATTATAATGACAATCATTGTAAATTTTAGATGTAACACTACTTCAATGATATTTGTCATGACACTTGGGATGGCTCCTAACTCTTGAACCCTGAACCTCCTTCAGATAAGTTGAATAGGTTATACAGCATCATCTGCTGTTCCAGATACCTATATAAATCCATTTGTATACTCAGTACACTAGTAATATTTTTTTGCTAGATGGTTAACAAAAATAGTAGTCTTAACTCCTTGTGTTAATGCTATTGAAGAACCAGTAGTGCTAGCAATTAATGAAATTGAAGCTGTTATACCAGCAATAATCAAGCTGGCTACTCTCTTGCTTCTGCTTAAAGCCTAACTCACTTCTAGCACTTTCAAGATTTTTTCAGAGAATCAAGGTTTTCTGATACTCAGGGCAGTAGGACAACCAGGTCTGGTTGATAAACCCCTGAAACAGACCTGCCAGGTTTCAACACACTAACACAATTGGAAATTAGACAATCAATGCAACTTACAATAAATACTGTAGAAGAGACAAAATCAGTTTTAGCTTGACAGTTTTAAAAGCCTTAAAACATGCACCAACCCTTGTTTGAAATCCAGATCCTGTCCCAACTTTATCTCTTGCTATTATAACATCAAAGTGAGCTACAGCTAACTTCCAAATATGTCTCTGAAAATGTCCAGATCCAGGCTTCTAAAAGTAGACTGTTATTTCCCATATTGGATTGATTTCTAGGACAGTCCATGATTGAGTCCTAACAAATGGTCACCTTTAAGAAAAATAAAAGAAACATTATAATTTCTCTTTTTGATTATCTGTCCCACAAGGTCTAAAACTTGAGGCAGGGAGTTTGTCTTATCTGGGATATAGGCAAGCAAAGGTGGGTCAAGAACATATGTCCAATAGAGCTCCCCAGCCACCTTTGTCAGGGCACGCAGCAAGCTCATAGGTCGGTATCATTCTTTATCTCAGCAACAGAATGTATCACCAATCTTTTTTTTAAAGTTCCATAGACCTCTTCCACAATACCTTGTCCTTGAGGATTATATGGAATCCCCATAATAAATTGGTGACCGAAAGTCTCGACTGCTAGACTACAATTGCCAACTCCATTATGTTTTTTTTTAAATTGGATATTTTATTTATTTAGCTTTCAATATCATTCCCTCTCCCATTCTCCCCAAAAGCCCTTATCCCATCAGCCCTCGTCCAACTTCTATGAGGGTGAGCCCCCACCCACCCACCCATTCCCAACTCCCTGCTCTCAAATTCTCTAACACTAGGGCATCCAAACATTCAGGGACCAAGGTCCACCTCTTCCACTGATGTCTGATAAGGCCATCCTCAACTACCTATACAGGTGGACCCATGAGTCCCTTTGTGTTCCCAGGCTGGAAGTTTAGACTCTGGGAGCTCTTGTTGAGTATTTTGATACTCCTTCTAGGAAGAACCAAAGCACCCACACGTTGGTCTTCCTTCTTCTTCTTGAGCTTCATGTGGTCTATGCATTGAATCTTAGGTATTGTGAGATTTTGGGCTAATATTTACTTATCAGTGAGAGCATACCATGTGTGTTCTTTTGTGATTGGGTTACCTCACCAAAGATTATATTTTCCAGTTCCACCAATTTGCCTAAGAATTTTATGAACTCATTGTTTTTAATAGCTGAGTAGCACTCCATTGTTTAAATGTATCATATTTTCTGTATCCATTCCTCTGTTGAAGAACACCTGGGTTCTTTCCAGCTTCTAGCTAATATAATTAAGGCTGCTATGAACATAGTGGAGAATGTGTCCCTGTTGTATGTTGGAACATCTTTTGAGTATATGTCCAGGAGTGGTATAGCTGAGTCCTCAGGTAATACTATGTTCAATTTTCTGAGAAACTGCCAGACTGCTTTCAATAGTGGTTGTACCATTTTGCAATCCCATCAACAATGGAGGAGTGTTCCTCTTTCTCCATATCCTCACCTCTGGTGTTACCTGAGTTTTTGATCTTAGCCATTCTGACTGGTATGAGGTGGAATCTTAGGGTTGGTTTGATTAACATTTTCTTGATGACTAAGGATGTTGAACAGTTTTTTTTTTTGGATGTTTTGTTTACATTTCATATGTTGTCCCCTTACACCATCCCCCACCCACCCAGGAACCCCCTATGCCCTTACCCCTCCTCCTCCTTCTTCTCTGCCGATGAAACCCCTACCTACCCCTCCCCACTCCTACCTCTCCACCCTCAAATTCCCACCCCCTGGGGTGTCCAGCCTTCATGAGGTCAAGGATCTCTTCTTCCACCTATGCCCAGCAGGGTCCTCCACTCTTACTTATTCAGCTGAAGCCCTGGATCCCTCCCTAAGTGCGCTCAGGCTGGTGGTTTAAACCCTGGGAGCTGTGGTTGGTTGGTATTGTTGCTCTCCTCATGGGGCCACAAACCCTTTCAGCTCCGATGGCCTTGTTGAACAGTTCTTTAGGTGCTTCTCAGCCATTGAGTTTCCTCAGTTGAGAATTCTTTGTTTAGCTCTGTACTCCATTTTTGATAGGGTTATCTAATTGTCTAGAGTCTAATTTCTTCAGTTCTTTGTATACCTTAGATATTAGCCCTCTATCAGCTGTAGGATTGGTAAAGATCTTTTCCCAATCTGTTGGTTGCCACTTTGTCCTATTGACAGTGTCCATTGCTTTATAGAAGCTTTGCAGTTTTATGATGTCCCATTTGTCAATTCTTAATCTTAGAGCATAAGTAATTGGTGTTCTGTTCAGGAACATTTCCCCTGTGCCCATGTGTTTGAGGCTTTCCCCCATTTTCTCTTTTATTCATTTCAGTGTATCTAGTTTTATGTGAAGGTCTTTGATCCACTTGGACTTGAGTTTTGTACAAGGAGATAAGTATGGATCAATTTGCATTCTTCTACATGTTGTCCTCCAGTTGAACCAGCACCATTTGTTGAAACTGCTGTCCTTTTTTCCACTGGATGGTTTTAGCTCCTTTGTCAAAGATCAAGTGACCATAGGTATGGGGATTCATTTCTGAGTCTTTATATGAGATATATGGTTTGTGAAGATTTTTTTTCTAAATCTGTAGTCTGCCGATTTGTCCTATTGACTATTCTCTTCCATTGATCTACAACCTGTCCCTGTACGAAAACCATGCAGTTTTTATCACTATTGCTCTGTAGTACAGCTTGATGTCAGGGATGGTGATTCCAACAGAACTTCTTTTATTGTGGAGGATAGTGTTCACTATCCTGTGTTTTTTGTTATTCCAAATGAATTTGAGAATTACTCTTTCTGTCTCTGTGAAGAATTGAGTTGGGATTTTAATGGGAATTGCACTGAATCTGTAGATTGCTTTTGACAAGATAGCCATTTTTACTATATTAATTCTGCCAATCCATGAGCATGGGAGATCTTTCCATCTTCTGAGATCTGCTTCAATTTCTTTCTTCAGGGACTTGAAGTTCTTGTAGTTTGGATCTTTCACTTCCTTGGTTAGATTCACACCAAGGTATTTTATATTATTTCTGACTATTGTGAAGGGCGTCATTTCCCTAATTTCTTTCTTAGCCTATTTACATTTTGAGTAGAGGAAGGCTACTGATTTATTTGAGTTAATTTTATATCCAGCCATTTTGCTAAAGTTGTTTATCAGGTTTAGGAGTTCTCTGGTGGACATTTTGGAGTCACTTAATTATACTATCATATCATCTGCAAATAGTGATATTTTGACTTCTTCCTTTCCAATTTGTATCTCTTTGACTTCCTTTTGTTGCCTAATTGCTATGGCTAGGACTTTGAGTACTATATTGAATAGGTAGGAAGATAGTGGGCAGCCTTCTCTAGTCCCTGATTTTACTGGGATTGCTTCGTGTTTCTCTCCATTTAGTTTGATGTTGACTACTGGTTTGCTGTATATTGCTTTTACTGTGTTTAGGTATGGGTCCTGGATTTCCAATCTTTCCAAGACTTTTTTCATGAAGGAGTGTTGAATTTTGTCAAATTATTTCTCAGTATCTAGTGATATAATTATGTGGGGTTTTTTCTTTTGAGTTTGTTTATATAGTGGATTACACTGATGGATTTCTGTATATTTGAACCATCCCTGCATTCCTGGGATAAAGCATACTTGATCATGATGGATGATTGTTTTGATGTGTTCTTGGATTTCATTTGCGAGAATTTTATTGAGTATTATTGCATCGATATTCATAAGGGAGATTGGTCTGAAGTTCTCTTTGTTGGGTCTTTGTGTGGTTTAGGTATGAGTGTAATTGTGGCTTCATAGAATGAATTGGGTAGTGTTCCTTCTGTTTCTGTTTTGCAGAACAGTTTATAGAGAATTGGTATTAGGTTTTCATTGAAAGTCTGATAGAACTCTGCACTAAACCCATCTAGTCCCGGACTTTTTTTGGTGGGAACATTTTAATGACTGCTTCTATTTCTTTTGGGTTTATGGGACTATTTAGATGATTTATCTGGTCCTGATTTAACTTTGGTAACTGCCATTTGTACAAAAAAAATTGCCCATTTGATTCCAGATTTTCCAATTTTGTTGAGTATAGGCTTTTGTAGTAGGATCTGATGATTTCTTTTTAATTTGCTCAGTTTCTGTTGTTATGTCACCTTTTTCAATTCTGATTTTATTAATTTGGATACTTCCTCTCTGCCCTCTGATTAGTCTGGCTAAGGGTTTATCTATCTTGTTGATTTTCTCAAAGAACCAGCTCCTGGTTTTATTCATTCTTTGTATAGTTCTTTTTGTTTCAGTTGGCTGATTTCAACCCTGAGTTTAATTATTCCTGCAGTCTTCTCCTCTTGGGTGTGTTTGCTTCTTTTTGTTCTGGAGCTTTCAGGTGTGTTGTCAATCTCCTAGTGTATGCTCTCTCAGTTTCTTTTTGTAAGCACTGAGAGCTATGAGTTTTCCTCTGAGAGTACTGCTTTCATTCTGTCCCATAAGTTTTTGTGTGGTGTGTCATTTTCATTAAATTCTAAAAAGTCTTTAATTTCTTTTTTAATTTCTCCCCTGACCACGTTATCATTGAGTAGAGTGTTGTGCAGTTTCCATGTGAATGTGGGCTTTCCATTGTTTTTGTCGTTATTGAAGACTAGCCTTAGTCCATGGTGATCTGATAGGATGCATAGGATTATTGCAATGTTCTTGTATAGGTTGAGGCCTGTTTTGTGACCAATTATAATTTCTATTTTGGAGAAGGTACCATGAGGTGCTGAGAAAAAAAGGTATATTCTTTTGTTTTAGGATGAAATGTTCTATAGATATCTGTTAAATCCATTTGATTCATAATTTTTGTTAATTTCACTGTATCTCTGTTTAGTTTCTGTTTTCATGATCTGTCCATTGCTGAGAGTGGGATATTGGAGTCTCCCACTATTATTTTGTGAGGTGCAATGTGTGCTTTGAGCTTTAGCAAGGTTTCTTTTATGAAAGTGGGGTCTCTTGCATTTGGTGCCTAGATGTTCATAATTGAGAGTTCATGTTAGTTGACTTTTCCTTTGATGAGTATGCAAAGTTCTCCTTTATCTTTTTTGATAGCTTTAGGTTGAAAGTTGATTTTATTTGATATTAGATTGGCTACTCCAGCTTGTTTCTTAGGATTATTTGCTTGAAAAATTGTTTTCTAGCCTTTTACTCTAGGGTAGTGTCTGTCTTTGTCATTGAGGTGGGTTTCCTGTATGCACCAAAACGCTGGGTCCTGTTTACATATCCAGCCCATTAGTCTATGTCTTTTTACTGGGGAATTGAGTCCATTGGTATTAAGAGATATAAGGAGAGGAGCTTGTTGCTTCCTGTTATTTTTGTTATTAGCAGTGGCATTGTTTGTGTGGCTATCTTCTTTTGAATCTGTTGGAAGATTACTTTCTTGCTCTTTCTAGGGCATAATTTCCCTCCTTGTATTGGAGTTTTCCCTCTATTATCCTTTGTCATGCTGGGCTTGTGGAAACATATTATGTAAATTTGGTTTTGTCATGGAATATCTTGATTTCTCCATTTATGTTAATTGAGAATTTTGCTGGGTATAGTAGCCTGGGCTGGCATGTGTGTTCTCTTGGGGTCTGTATAACATCTACCCAAGATCTTCTGCCTTTTATAGTCTCTGGTGAGAAGTCTGGTGTAATTCTTTATATGTTACTTGGCTTTTTTCCCTTACTGCTTTTAATATTCTTTCTTTGTTTTGTGCATTTGATGTTCTTATTATTATGTGATGGGAGGTGTTTCTTTTCTGGTCTAGTCTACTTGGTGTTCTGTAGGCTTCTTGTGTTTTTATGGGCATATAGTTCTTTAGGTTAGGGAAGTTTTCCTCAATAATTTTGTTAAAGATATTACTGGCCATTTAAGTTGGGAATCTTCACTCTCATCTGTACCTATTATTCTTAGGTTTGTACTTCTCATTGTGTCCTGGATTTCCTGAATGTTTTGGGTTAGGAACGTTTTGCACTTTGTGTTTTCTTTGACAGTTGTGTCAATATTTTCTATAGTATCTTATGCACCTGAGATTCTCTCTTCTATCTCTTGTATTCTGTTGGTGATGCTTGTATCTATGATTCCTGATTTTTTTCCTAGGTTTTTCCATCTCCAGGGTAGTCTCCCTTTGAGATTTCTTTATTATTTCTATTTACATTTTTAAATCCTGGATGGTTTTGTTCAATTCCTTCACCTGTTTGGTTGTATTTTCTAGTAATTCTTTAAGGGATTTTTGTGTTTCCTCTTTAAGGGCTTCTACCTGTTTACCTGTGTTCTCCTCAGTTTCTTTGAGAGTATTATTTATGTCCATCTTAAAGTCCTCTATCATCATCATTAGAAGTGAGTTTAAATCTGAATCTTGTTTTCCTGGTGAAATGGGGAATTGAGGACTTTCCATTGAGGGAGAACTAGGTTCTGATGATGCCAAGTACCCTAGGTTGCTGATGCTTATGTTCTTGTGCTTGCCTTTTGCCATCTAGATCTCCTTAGTGCTACCCGTGATGTCCCTGACTGGAGCCTGTCTTTCCTATTATCTTGTTAGTGTGAGAACTGTTTGGAGTGGATGTTGCTGCTGGGATTAGAACTGAAGTCCAAGATCTGCTCAATGCTCTGGAACAGACCTGAAGAACCAGTGCTCCTGACCAGTAGTGTATTCCTGGGTCCCAGTGGTTCCCAGTTACCCCTTGTTTGGGGCAGGTATTGCTTTCTCCTTACCTAAGATACTTCCAGGGTTAGAGCTCCTGGGAACCCCACCTCCTCTGGGTTTTGTGAGATTGGGTGCAGAGCTGAAGCCCAAAATCTGCTCAGTGCTAAGGCACAAACTGAAAGGCCCTTCTTTTCTTATGTTTGCTAAAACTGAGTATTTAACCAAGTGGGACAGTGTTCTAACAATGAGAAACATTCTAGCCTCATATAGAGGTAAAACATAATATCCTTTCTTTGGAAATGTGGAGATTGAATCCTGTCTCACACACATGAAACATAATTACTCTACCTTTGAGCAATAGCCTTAGCTGACCTTGTGGTTTTATATACTCACCCAGTTCTTTTTACATTTTAAATCAAGACTTAATAACACTACCTTGTCATACCATATCTAAGAAGACACATAAGTATTAGCTTAAACTTAATTAGTACATGAGGTTAAGAGATACATAAGCAATAAAGAGCACTTACTGCTGCTGCAAAAGACCTGAGTTCAGTTCTTAGCATATACGTAGTGGCTAACAAACATCTCTAATTTCAGTTTCCTGGAATACAACACTTTCTTTTTACATAGTTGTGTACCAAGCACACATGTGGTACACACACACACACACACACACACACACATATTCTAGAAAATACTTATAAATAAACTAATTCATAAACTGTCATCATCCTTAGAATAAAATACTAGAAGAATAAGAAATGTTTCACATTTAATATACCAGTAATTAATGTTGGCTTAAAGTTGAAGACTGAGCTAAATAGATATCCACTATTTGTACTATCAGTAAAGCCACATCATGAATACATTTTGGGAAATGACTTACTTCAGTCACAGTGGTGGAAAAGAAGTTGCTCCTATCATACACCCAGCCATCCACACATGGCTCAGTGGCTGGCTCTGTCACATTGGAGAAATTGCCATTCAAATGAAGAAGATGCCACTGTGGTTGGGCAAAACGACGACACTTATCCAGTCTCAGGTTAGAGTCCAAGGAGATGGAGATCCTCAGGAGGTCATCTTGGCTCAGTTTCCTACTGTCATTATCAGAGACAGTGTCATTGTCAAGTATAGGGACCCAGCACCGATGACTAGGAATGGCTGCAGTAAAGTTCTCCATTAGACTATGAGATGTGATAAGGCCATTGAGGACCATAACAAACATTATCTGAAAGATCTGGAATCTCCCTAGGCTTCCTACTTGATTCAGGAGTTCCAGAAAGGCCATTGAGACTGTATAACTATCTCAAATGAAAGACGAATAATACTTCCATGTAGGATAGTACAAAGCATTTAAAAAGAACTTATATTTCAGAAAGATATTCTAAGCAGGGTTGATCCTGAATTGTTCTCAATGTGTCCCTCATCATCTTTCCATTGCAGTCATAGAAACAGTACCTTCTAGTGAGCTAAGGGTTAGGTACGGAGCTTCTTCTTTTAAAGTCATCAAACATTCTACCAATGATTCTATTTCTACAATTAGATTTGTTAAAGATTTATTTTTAAAGGAATTTTGCTTACATAACTCTCATGGTCAAATATGGACATTGATCTGCAAATCTCAGAAAATAAAAAAAAAGTTAATCTATTACCTTTTTTTAAGTTTTATTAACCATTCCATTGGTTTACATCTCAAATAATATCTCACTTCCTTGTTATCCCCTATACCCACCCCATCCTACATCTGCTCTCGCTACTCCCTTTAGCCTGTATGAGAGTGCTCCTCCACCCACCAACACTTTTGCCATACCATTGCAGCATCCTCCTACCCTGGGGCATTAAACCTCCCAGGACCAAGAGCCCCCCCCTCTTATTGCTGTCAGGCATGGCCATCCTCTGCTCAGATACATAGGTATCTCTAGCCAAAGATCACTTACAGCACTCTCCTTGGTTGGTGAACTTGTCTCTGGGAGAACTGGATGATCAGGTCAGCCTCTGTTGTTCTTCCAATGGGGTTGCAATCACCCTCTGTTCCTCTAGTCCTTCTACCAGCTCCCCAACAAGGTTTCCTGAGTTTAGCCTGATGGTTGGCTCCAAGCATCTGCCTCTGTATTGGTCAGTTGTTGGCTGGACCTCCTCGGGAGCTGCCACACTTGGTTCCTGTCTACAAGAACCTCCTGACCATGGCAACAATGTTGGGTTTGGTGTCTGCAGACATGATGTATCCTCAAGTGGGGCTGTTCCCCAGTTGACCCTGCCTTCAGTCTCTGTTCCATTTTTTGTCCCTGTTCTTTCTTTGAACAGAAACATTTCTGGGTTAAAAGAATTTTGAGATGGATGGCATGTATTATAGAATATGCAATTTAAAAGACTTCAAAGTGAACCATTTTATTTTTTTAATCCATATGTTGTGTTTAATATTAAATTTTGTTAAAAGAGTTAAGGAAAAGAATTAAAGCTAAGTTAATTAAGATGTAAAGAGAAACTTTGGAACACTGGTTCTCCCAGAAGGGAGAGGTTAATGAACATTCCTGGTCAGCTCAGGAACTTTGTAAAAGTCATGAGACACTTGCCAGATGGGAAAGGCTGATTAACATTCGTCAGGCCACTGGGGAGGGAACCCATCTGTGTCGTGCAGTGCTCGCGCCTAGGGATCTCGGGCTGGCGGGACTGTCGCAGGATACCACGGCTGGCGTCAGCTCCAAGCCGGGCCAGCGGGGGTGGGCGAGCGGCCTTCAGCAGCCGACAGGGCGGGGCTCGCTCCACAGCGGCCTCTGGTGGCCCGAAAACCAGAGCGGGACCTCCGTCCCAGCCCCCAAAAGCGAGAAAGTGTTGTCAGCTCTTTTAATTCTCTCCTTCCGAGAGCCCACGGAAGAAAAGTGTCTCATCTCTTTTAGTTCAGCTCACTCTTCCCACTGAGGGGAGAGGAGAGTGTTGTCCTTTGAAGTGCGTGACTGGCGACTGGCGAGGGATCGGGAAAACACCCCGACAGCAGGAGACCTTGCACCACACAGCAGTAGTCATTTAATTTGAGCTCTGGAATTTATATATATACAGTTTCGGGGAAAGAACAGGTAGCCCCTATTGGTTTGGCTTGGGTGTTTGAGGATGCCTTATTTGCATGGAGGTGCTATCCTACGTGATAAGGGTCATGGGTCTCTTTGTGGGAAGTGGAAGCTAAGAGGGCCACTAGCATGGGAAATCTGAAGCAACCTTCCGTCCTGTGACCCTTTTCAGCCCGAGGTTTCCGGGGCTTCGAAGATTTCTACCAAGCTTTCTGGCTTTCTCATAGCCCACTGCCCCACACACCTGCAGGTGGAGAAGACCAAGAACACAGTAGGCACATTCCACAAGATGGAATGACCCTTGCCACCTGCAGACAAAAAAAGTCCCTGCCACCTGATTCACTAAAGACTGATCCATTTAAAAAGTCCAACTGTTCTGCCAATCACATTGTGCTTAATGACTGCTGCCTAAAAACCATAAAAACTGACCAAATGAGCTGCCCAGGGTCACCACTCTACCTTCAGTGTAGGACAACCGCAATGCATTGGATCATTAAAATTCCTCTTGCATTTTGCATTGACTGATATCTCTGTGTGGTTCATAATATTCTAGACAGATATAAGGTACAGAAGTTAAATCAAAATCAAATAAACCATCTGAACAGTCTCATAACCCCTAAAGAGATAGAAGAAGTCATTAAAAGTCTCCCCATCAATTCCATGAAAGCAGTGCTAAGAGGAAAACTAATAGCTCTAAGTGCCTAAAATAAGAAATTGGAGAGAGCACACATTAACAACTTGACAGCACACATGAAAGCTTTAGAACAAAAAGAAGCAAATACACCCAAGAGGAATAGAAGGCAGGAAATAATCCAACTCAGGGCTGAAATCAACCAAATAGAAACACAAAGAACAATACAAAATATCAACAAAACCAGGAGTTGGTTCTTTGAGAAAATCAACAAGATAGAATAACCCTTAGCCAGATTAACCAGAGGGCACAGAGACAGTATCCAAATTAATAAAATCAGAACTGAAAAGGGAGACATAACAACAGAAACTGAAGAAATTCAAAAAATCATCAGATCCTACTACAAAGGCCTATACTCAACAAAACTGGAAAACCTGGATGAAATGGACAATTTCCTAGACAGATACCAGGTGCCAAATTTAAATCAGGAGCAGATAATCCATCTAAACAGTTCGATAACCCCTAAGGAAATAGCAGCAGTCATTAAAAGTCTCCCCACCAAAAAAAGCACAGGACCAGATGGTTTTAGTGCAGAATTCTATCAGACCTTCAAGGAAGATCTAATACCAATTCTCTTCAAACTACTCCACAAAATAGAAACAGAAGGAACACTACCCAATTCATTCTATGAAGCTACAATTACACTCATACCCAAACCTCACAAAGACCCAACAAAGAGAACTTCAGACCAATCTCCCTTATGAACATCGATGCAAAAATACTCAATAAAATTCTAGCAAACCAAATCCAAGAACACATTAAAACAATCATCCGTCATGATCAAGTAGGTTTTATCCCAGGAATGAAGGGATAGTTCAATATTCGGAAATCTGTCAATGTAATCCACTATATAAAAAAACTCAAAGAAAAAAACCACATGATCATCTCACTAGATGCTGAGAAAGAATTTGACAAAATTCAACATCCCTTCATGATAAAAGTCTTGGAAAGATCAGAAATCCAAGGCCCATACCTAAACATAGTAAAAGCAATTTACAGCAAACTAGTAGCTGACATCAAAATAAATGGAGAGAAACTTGAAACAATCCCACTAAAATCAGGGACTGGACAAGACTGCCCACACTCTCCCTACCTATTCAACATAGTACTGGAAGTCCTAGACAGAGCAATTAGACAACAAAAAGAAGTCAAAGGGATACAAATTGGAAAGGAAGAAGTAAAAATATCACTATTTGCAGATGATATGATAGTATACTTAAGTGACTCCAAAATGTCCACCAGAGAACTCCTAAACCTGATAAAAAAAAATTCAGCATAGTGGCTGGTTATAAAATCAACTCAAACAAATCAGTAGCCTTCCTCTACATGAAAGATAAACAGACTGAAAAAGAAATTATGGAAATGACACCCTTCACAACAGTCGCAAATAATATAAAATACCTTGGCGTGAATCTAACCAAACAAGTGAAAGACCTGTATGACAAGAACTTCAAGTCCCTGAAGAAAGAAACCGAAGATCTCAGAAGATGGAAAGATCTCCCAACCTCATGGATTGGCAGGATTAATATAATAAAAATGGCATCTTGCCAAAAACAATCTATAGATTCAATGCAATTCCCATTAAAATCCCAACTCAATTCTTCACAGAGTTAGAAAAGGAAATTCTCAAATTCATTTGGAATAACAAAAAACCTAGGATAGCGAAAACTATTCTCCACAATAAAAGAACTTCTGGGGGAATCACCATCCCTGACCTGAAGCTGTACTACAGAGCAATAGTGAAAAAACTACATGGTATTGGTACAGAGACAGGAAGGAAGACCAATGAAATAGAATTGAAGACCCAGAAATGACCACATACCTATGGTCACTTGATCTTTGACAAAAGAGCTAAAACTGTCCAGTGGAAAAAGGACAGCATTTTCAACAAATGGGGCTGATTCAACTGGAGGACAACATGTAGAAGAATGAAAATTGATCCATTCTTATCTCCTTGTACAAAGCTCAAGTCTAAGTGGATAAAGGACCTCCACATAAAACCAGATACACTGAAACTAATAGAAGAGAAGGTGGGGAAGAACCTGGAATACTTGGGCGCAGGGAAAAAGTTCCTGAACAGAACACCAATGGCATATGCTTTAAGATCAAGAATTGACAAATGGGACTCATAAGATTGCAAAGTTTCTGTAAGGCAACAAAACGACAACCAACAAATTGGGAAAAGATCTTTTTCAATCCCACATCTGATAGAGGGCTAATATATAATATATACAAAGAACTCAAGAAATTAGACTCCAGACAAACAAATAACCCTATTAAAAATGGTGTATAGAACTTAATAAAGAATTTTCTTTTCTTTATTTTTTTCTTTTTTTTTATTTTTTGGTTTTTCGAGGCAAGGTTTCTCTGTGTAGCCCTGGCTGTCCTGGAACTCACTCGGTAGACCAGTCTGGCCTCGAACTCAGAAATCCGCCTGCCTCTGCCTCCCAAGTGCTTGGATTAAAGGTGTACGCCACTACTGCCTGGCAACAAAGAATTTTCAACTGAAGAAACTGGAATGACGGAGAAGCACCTAAAGAAATGTTCAGTATCCTTAGTCATCAAGGAAATGCAAATCAAGGCAACCCTGAGATTCCATCTCACACCAGTGAAAATGACTAAGATTAAAAACTCAGTTGATAGTAGATGCTGGCGAGGGTGTAGAGAAAGAGGAACACTCCTTCATTGTTGGTGGGACTGCAAGATGGTACAACCACTGTGGAAATCAGTCTGGTGGCTCCTCAGAAAATTGGACATAGCATTACCTGAGGATCCAGCTATACCACCCATAGGCATATACCCAGAAGATGCTCAAACATATAAAAAGGACATATTCTCAACTATGTTCATAGCAGCCTTATTTATAATAGCCAGAAGCTGGAAAGAACCCAGATGTCCTTCACCAGAGGAATGGATACAAAAAATTAGGTACTATTAAAAACAATAAACTCAAGAAAATCCTAGGTAAATGGATGGAACTAGAAAATATCATCCTCAGTGAGGTAAGCCAATCACAAAAGAACACACATGGCATTCACTCACTGATTATTGGATATTAGCCCAGAACCTTGAAATGCCCAAGATTCAACTTACAGGCCACATGAAGCTCATGAAGAAGGATGACCAAGTGGGGGGGTGCTTCAGTCCTTCTTAGAAGGAGCAACAAAATACTCAAGGGAGCAAATATAAAGACAAAGTGTAGGACAGAAACTGAAGGAGGGGCTGTCTGGAGATGATTCCACCTGGGTACCCATTCCATGTGCAGTCACCAAAGGTAGACGCTTATGTGGATGTCAGGAAGTGCATGCTGACAGGAGCCTGACATAGCTGTCTCCTTAGAGGTTTGCAAGAGTCTGACATATTCAGAGGCAGATGCTTACAGCTAACCATTGAACTGATCATGGGATTCCCAATGGAGGAGTTAAAATTAAGACTGAAGGAGTTGAAAGGATTTGCGACCTCATGAGTAGTGCAATACCAACCAACCAGAGTTCCCATGGTCTAAACCACCAGCCTGGGGGCACTTAGGGAGGGGCCCATGGCTACAGCTGTATATTGCAATCGAGGATGGTCCTGTCAGGTATAGGTGGAAGAGGAGATCCTTGGTCTCATGAAGGCTGGATGCCATGTGTGGGGGAATTTGAGAGTGGGGAGGTGGGAGTAGGGGGGTAGGTGGGGGCACACCCTCTTAGAAGCAGTAGGAGGGGGATGGGATAGGGGGTTCCTGGACAGGACATGGGGGAATGGGTATGGGGATAACATCTGAAATGTAAATAAAATATCCAATGAAAAAAACAATCAAACAAACAAAAAAGAAAAAGAAGTCTCCCCAC